ACACCTGGTGGAAGCGTGTGTACAGGTACTCACACCTGGTGGAAGCGTGTGTACAGGTACTCACACCTGGTGGAAGCGTGTGTACAGGTACTCACACCTGGTGGAAGCGTGTGTACAGGTACTCACACCTGGTGGAAGCGTGTGTACAGGTACTCACACCTGGTGGAAGCGTGTGTACAGGTACTCACACCTGGTGGAAGCGTGTGTACAGGTACACACACCTGGTGGAAGCGTGTGTACAGGTACTCACACCTGGTGGAAGCGTGTGTACAGGTACTCACACCTGGTGGAAGCGTGTGTACAGGTACTCACACCTGGTGGAAGCGTGTGTACAGGTACTCACACCTGGTGGAAGCGTGTGTACAGATGCTCACACCTGGTGGAAGCGTGTGTACAGGTGCTCACACCTGGTGGAAGCGTGTGTACAGGTACTCACACCTGGTGGAAGCGTGTGTACAGGTACTCACCTAATAGTAATAATAATTTATTTAGTAAAAGTACATACATAGTTGCTGAGTTACAGTATAAACATTCTGTTGGATTTAAAGATAGAGGTAGTACATACAATACCTAAAGCCACTAGTGTGGCTAGTGAATAGGTGAGTAAATAGGTGAGTAAAACCACTTAGTTGATGAGTGTGGTGTACCACTCATCAACTCGCTCTCATCAAGCGACATGTGGTGTGAAACTTAAGTGGCTCTCGTGTCCATCACTTAAATCATCAATTCAGTTTGCCTCAACTAGGGACCCATAGTTAAGACCAACCGTCTAAAGAATTAAATAGAGTATGAACTGTCGACCCCATTGTGTGTGTTAATTGTTTAAGTGCGATGTGTGTTTGTGAGCTGACTGTCCCTTGACCTACTGACCTAATATCCCGAACTGTCAAGTATTCTGTCCCAAGTCAATCGCTGTCACTGTTTGGCTGTCACTGGCTGTCACTGGCTGTCACTGTCAAGTGTTCAGAGAATATTACTCCAGTTCTTCCCCTGTACAGGGCATAGTAAGGGGGGGGGGTTCTGGGATCGGTGGAGCTAAGGCCCGGGATATCTTCCAGTACTCGTGGCTATACCTTCCCAGCAGTGATATAACAACACTTTTCACCGCCTCTCACCCGGTGTCGACCCGTGGTGTGTGGAGTCTAACAACTATGTCGTAAGTGAGGGTGGTGGCTGTGGTGAAGGTTTGGTTAACCTGTAGTAGCTGCTAACATACATGCCTGCCTGCCTGCCTGCCTGCTGCTGCTTGCTTGCTTGCTTGCTTGCTTGCTTGCTTGCTTGCCTGCCTGCCTGCCTGCCTGCCTGCCTGCCTCTCTCTCTCTCTCTCTCTCTCTCTCTCTCTCTCTCTCTCTCTCTCTCTCTCTCTCTCTCTCTCTCTCTCTCTCTCTCTCTCTCTCTCTCGGACTGGACGGTTGAGCAATAGTCTCGCTTAATGCAGGTCGGCGTTCAATCCCCGACCGTCCAAGTGGTTGGGCACCATTCCTATTCCCCCGTCCCATCCCAAATCCCTATCCTAACCCCTTCCAAGTGCTACATAGTCGTTTTGGCTTGGAGCTTTCTCCTGACAATTCCCTCCCTTCCCTCTCCCTCTGGTTCTATCCATTTAATCAGAAGAATTAAATTTAATTAAAATTAGATCCCAATAAATGGATGAATGTAAGTAGTGCCATTAGCCGCTTTCCTCTGGGCACGGAGGGAGGTACGAGGGCCACCGTCCAGGTCAACACCTCTAGTAATGACTCCTCCACGGCTCACAATATTAACATTACAGAATGCAACCCGTTCTCGCACTTGCTTATAGCCAATATTGGCTTATTTAATAAGTGCATATGTGACATACTATTGATTGTGAATATTTTAGTTTATCTTGAAAAGCAAGCTATAAGCAAGTGCGAGAACGGGTTGCAACATGGACACCTGGTGATAATTCCGTAGAAGACATGATCGTAGGTACATTGGCAGACAGCACCGCTCCTGTGTCACTATATGACTCCTGTATGAGTCCACTACGGGCTCACCATAGGCCGTGCTACTTGCGACTTTTTGTTCCCAGTAGCTGACTCTAAAACAACAACAACAATAACAACAACCACAACAGCAACAAGGGATAAGAGCAGCATTAGTGGTGGAGGCATAGGGCTCAACCTCACCACACACTCACACCTTAACAAGGCACTCCGGTGGTCCGACTAATTACCCAAATCTCCTCAAAGTCGCCCCAAAGCTTCCCAGCATTACCTAAGTCATGAAGAAATATAATATATCTACTCACTATAATGTTGGTTCTAAATGTAGAACATGAACAACATACATTTTGACTCTGAAATAATATAATTTTTTGGCGAAATTAGACAAAATTAAGGGGCAGGTGACGCCACAGGAAGTCGATGATCCAAGCGACAATGTTGTGGCTTTGGGTAATTAGATGGACCCAATTTCGTTATATTAGTTCATAGTAAAAATATGTTTTTTCGTGTCCACCATTAAGCACCAACATTATAGTGAGTTAATATATCATAGTTCTTCATTACTGACGTCATGCTGGCAGGCGCGGAGTAATTAGTCGCATCCTTAAATAATAATAATAATGGAAGACATTGCGAATGTTGGTGGTGGTGTGATGACCGTGTACCACAGTACCACCGTGGTGGTGGTGTGATGACCGTGTACCACAGTACCACCGTGGTGGTGGTGTGATGACCGTGTACCACAGTACCACCGTGGTGGTGGTGTGATGACCGTGTACCACAGTACCACCACCAAGACACAACACGCCACACCTTGGTACAAGGGACGCTGAGGGGCGTCCACCTTGGTACAAGGGACGCTGAGGGGCGTCCTCCTTGGTACAAGGGACGCTGAGGGGCGTCCACCTTGGTACAAGGGACGCTGAGGGGCGTCCACCTTGGTACAAGGGACGCTGAGGGGCGTCCACCATGGTACAAGGGACGCTGAGGGGCGTCCACCTTGGTACAAGGGACGCTGAGGGGCGTCCACCTTGGTACAAGGGACGCTGAGGGGCGTCCACCTTGGTACAAGGGACGCTGAGGGGCGTCCACCTTGGTACAAGGGGCGCTGAGGGGCGTCCACCTTGGTACAAGGGACGCTGAGGGGCGTCCACCTTGGTACAAGGGGCGCTGAGGGGCGTCCACCTTGGTACAAGGGACGCTGAGGGGCGTCCACCTTGGTACAACTGACACTGAGGGGCGTCCACCTTGGTACAAGGGACGCTGAGGGGCGTCCACCTTGGTACAAGGGACGCTGAGGGGCGTCCACCTTGGTACAAGGGACGCTGAGGGGCGTCCACCTTGGTACAAGGGACGCTGAGGGGCGTCCACCATGGTACAAGGGACGCCGAGGGGCGCACATTGTCTATAATTATAATACCCGACCCCGTCAGAGCTGCTTCAAGACCTGAAGTATAATTACCTCTCCAGTAGAGAAACTTGTAACGCCAATTTAGTGTTAATTCCAACATCAACGAAGCTGTGTAAAATAATTCCCAGACAAGCTATTATCTCAAATTTTAAATACAATATAATTCCATCAAATTATCAAGGAACACATTCACTGGAATTACCCTATGAATAATTTGTGGCGTTTCTGGCAAAATGTCGGACTACTGGTCCGAGGCTCCACAGTATTGTGCTCCGGTGGTGGTGACTCCTGACATTGTTAGGCGGGGTGGTGAGGTGAGGGGGGAGTGGTGAGGTGAGGGAGGAGGAGTGGTGAGGTGAGGGGGGAGGAGTGGTGAGGTGAGGGAGGAGGAGTGGTGAGGTGAGGGGGGAGGAGTGGTGAGGTGAGGTGGGGGAGTGGTGAGGTGAGGGAGGAGTGGTGAGGTGGGGGAGGAGTTGTGAGGTGAGGGAGGAGGAGTGGTGAGGTGAGGGAGGAGGAGTGGTGAGGTGAGGGAGGAGGAGTGGTGAGGTGAGAGAGGAGGAGTGGTGAGGTGTGAGGGAGGAGGAGTGGTGAGGTGAGAGAGGAGGAGTGGTGAGGTGTGAGGGAGGAGGAGTGGTTAGGTGTGAGGGAGGAGTGGTTAGGTGTGAGGGAGGAGTGGTGAGGTGAGGGAGGAGTGGTAAGGTGAGAGGGAGGAGTGGTGAGGTGAGGGAGGAGGAGTAGTGAGGTGAGGGGGGGGGGGGAGCTCCCCACAATGCTGGCACCTGGCTTAGTTTACCAGTAAACTATTTGTCAGAAGCTGAACATTCACAAACCACTTCCCTTCTTATCCTCTGACACTCACGTCATGGACAACCCACGCCAGACCCATTTATTAAATGCCTTTCCAAATTAGCTTTATACAACATCTACCATTTGCCTATCTTCTGATACTTGATGACAATGGCTGTGTATTTCCTAATACTTCTTATTTCATCTCTGAAGTCCATAGTAACCTGGAGTGTGTAGTTGTCTTTATTAAACTGGAGATTTCTGAAGATTTCTGGAGAAACGTCTGGAAAATTTCTGGAGAAACTGGAGATGTCTCACCTAACCAGTCATTCTGAGTCTCTACAAGGACTTCCAGGAGTCGGAACCCGGAGTCTAGAGCTTGACCATATGTTATGAATTGTGTGTTAAAGCTGAATGTGTTTATGTGTGTTATATTGTCCGCGTTGTGGGTATTGATCATGAAAATGTTGTCAGTTCCTTCAACGTTAACCTTATTTATTGTGGTGCTGAACACACTGCAGCTACATGGTGGTGGACCACGCCAGGAGACAGGCAGAGGTGCAGACAGGTGGTGGTGGTGGTGGACCAAGCCAGGAGACAGGCAGAGGTGCAGACAGGTGGTGGTGGTGGTGGACCAAGCCAGGAGACAGGCAGACAGAGGTGCAGACAGGTGGTGGTGGTGGTGGACCAAGCCAGGAGACAGGCAGACAGAGGTGCAGACAGGTGGTGGTGGTGGTGGACCAAGCCAGGAGACAGGCAGACAGAGGTGCAGACAGGTGGTGGTGGTGGTGGACCAAGCCAGGAGACAGGCAGAGATACGGACGGTAAACACTTACCACTCGGGGCGGTCGACACATTGAAGATGCCAAACAACTTGGCATAGATGGATGCGGGTCTCTGAGGCTTCAGAGTGCTATCGATAGGTTTCATGAAGGCAGCCTTGGAGGGGGCGGGACCCGTCGGAACGCCCACTTTGGCCGCCCACCCCTCCATCACCATGTCCCTAAGCCCACCGTGGGCGGCGGCCTTGGGGTCGCCCTGCACCACATCGCCCTTGGTGGTGCTCGACGCTCCGCCGCCATTGCTACGTTTTCGAACGCGGCGACTCCGCTCCTCCACCAACTCCAGCACCTCCAGTTCGAAGTCCTCAATTATGGTCGGTGCGGGCGCCATGGTAGCGGGTAGAGTGGGCGGTGAGGAGACGGGTGGTGTGGGCGGTGAGGCGACCGGGGGGGTGTGGGAGGTGAGGAGATAGGTGATGTGGGCGAGGACTCACGCCCACAGGCACTACACCAGCAGGCAAGAGTGGCGCCGGCCGCCCGCCATCACTACGATAACCCGCGCGCCGCCCACACAAGTCTTGCACATATTGGCTTCCTCCAAGTCCACAACACAGAGGAGGGCCGTGGCGGGTGTGTCACCAGCTGGGACACAGGTATGCGAGCAGGACACAAGTGTCACCCTCGTCTCCTCGGCAACACTGACGCCCTCAGGGTCGCCCGCCCACAGTACACACAGTACCCACAGTACCCACAGTACACACAGTACACACACTAATCAGGCGGTCATCTGGTGGCCACCGTAGTTCAGGCGCGCACAATACCACCAGCACAGTACACTGAGTACATTCACGTATCAAAACCTATTTTGTGCATATAATACACAGGACTACACACACATAAGGATTAATGATTATTTAATAGCAAAGGAATTAAAGGTTACTTCACTCAACTGTACATAACTCTCTCTTGACAACACTCTCAATAATAACAATGAGATATTCAACCCAACCGTGACAGGATATTTCCGTCTGGTGCTGACCGCTGTACGTGACAGTCAGTGAGCGCGAGTGAGAGCACGCGAGAGCGAGAGCACGCGAGAGCGAGCACAAGAGTGTAGGAGTGAGTGTTTCCCCAAAGAATTTGTTTAGTGTTTACGCCGTCGTCAACCTGGAGGTTTGTGTAGCGACATATAAATAGCCTCCGTTGTTGGTGATTGAGAGATTGACGCACAGATGGCGTGAGGCGCGTACATTACACTCTGAGCAGCGAGGGGGTTAAACACTTATCACCAGGTGTCTCTGATCCCTCCTGTCACTCCACCACTTTTTATCTACTCAGACCCAAGCTTGTTATACTCTCAACAAAACCTCCACCCCAGGCTACACACATTTCCTACACTCCAGTTACGTGAAATAACACACAAATATGAGGGGCTACAACCCACACAAACTGAGCCATCCGTGAAAAAGCCGCTTAAAGGTTTGGAAGCCGTCAGTTGCCGTCGACGTGAACGACAATTATTAGTCGCCCCAAATAACACATTCCTGACAAAAATATGATCGCATTTAGACATGGCGGCCAGTTACCTAACACACCCCTGGATGAAGCTGTGTCACCCACGAGCGCGCCATGCAACCCGTTCTCGCAAATTTAATAAGTCAATATTGACTTATTAAATATGTGCATAGGTGACATACTTAACATAATTGATACCCTTAAAAAGATTCATAGAAAACACCGACCTTACCTAACCTACTTAGTATGTTAAGATAAGCATCTTATTGCTTCGTAATTACAATTATTACCTAACCTATAATAGGTATAGGTTAAGTAATAATTGTAATTACGAAGCAATAAGATGCTTATCTTAAGATACTAACAAGGTTAGGTAAGGTCGGTGTTTTCTATGAATCTTTTTAAGGGTATCTATTATGTTTAGTATATCACCTATGCACGTAGTTAATAAGTCAATATTGACTTTACGAATTTGCGAGAACGGGTTGCGCCATGAATGGGGCCTCCAGGCCGGCTAGTCAAGCGGGAGGCAAAGTTCAGTTAAGACACCGACCAGTGTAGATTAGCTGATAAACAAAATGGAAATTAGTGCTGACAAAATACAGATGGCAAAGCTTAGAAGAAAACAGCGGAGGGGTTAGGATAGGGTCTGCTGAATCATCGCTGAGCCAATATGATTTGGAGGGCTAGGAGGTGGAGGGCTGGGAGGTGGAGGGCTAGGAGGTGGAGGGCTGGGAGGTGGAGGGCTAGGAGGTGGAGGGCTGGGAGGTGGAGGGCTAGGAGGTGGAGGGCTGGGAGGTGGAGGGCTAGTAGGTGGAGGGCTGGGAGGTGGAGGGCTAGGAGGTGGAGGGCTGGGACAGGAGGGCTAGTAGGTGGAGGGCTGGGAGGTGGAGGGCTAGGAGGTGGAGGGCTGGGAGGTGGAGGGCTAGTAGGTGGAGGGCTGGGAGGTGGAGGGCTAGTAGGTGGAGGGCTGGGAGGTGGAGGGCTAGTAGGTGGAGGGCTGGGAGGAGGAGGGCTAGGAGGAGGAGGGCTAGGAGGTGGAGGGCTAGTAGGTGGAGGGCTGGGAGGTGGAGGGCTAGTAGGTGGAGGGCTAGTAGGTGGAGGGCTGGGAGGTGGAGGGCTAGTAGATGGAGGGCTGGGAGGTGGAGGGCTAGTAGGTGGAGGGCTAGTAGGTGGAGGGCTGGGAGGTGGAGGGCTAGTAGGAGGAGGGCTAGGAGGTGGAGGGCTGGGAGGTGGAGGGCTAGGAGGTGGAGGGCTGGGAGGTGGAGGGCTAGGAGGTGGAGGGCTAGGAGGTGGAGGGCTAGTAGGTGGAGGGCTAGGAGGAGGAGGGCTAGGAGGAGGAGGGCTAGGAGGTGGAGGGCTGGGAGGTGGAAGGCTGGGAGGTGGAGGGCTAGGAGGAGGAGGGCTAGGAGGAGGAGGGCTAGGAGGAGGAGGGCTAGGAGGAGGAGGGCTAGGAGGAGGAGGGCAAGGAGGAGGAGGGCAAGGAGGAGGAGGGCAAGGAGGTGGAGGGCTAGGAGGAGGAGGGCAAGGAGGAGGAGGGCAAGGAGGTGGAGGGCTAGGAGGAGGAGGGCAAGGAGGAGGAGGGCTAGGAGGAGGAGGGCTAGGAGGAGGAGGGCTAGGAGGAGGAGGGCAAGGAGGAGGAGGGCAAGGAGGTGGAGGGCTAGGAGGTAGAGGGCTGGGAGGTTAAATAAATAGTTAATAGTAGAAACAGTTGATTGACTGTCGAGGCGGGCCGAAAGAGCAGAGCTCAACCCCCGCAAGCACAACTAGGTGAATACACACACATACATGATCACCACATACAAGATTCTCAGAGCAATTGATAGAATAAAGACAGGCTATTTACCACAAGGGGCATATGCACTATGGGACACAGGTGGAAATTGAGTGCTCAAATGAGCCACAGAGATGTTAGAATTTTTTCAGTGTTAGAGTAATAGACAAATGAAATGCATTAGGAAGTGATGTGGTGGAGGCTGACTCCATACACAGTTTCAAATGTAGGTATGATAGAGCCCAGTAGGCTCAGGAACCTGTACACCAGTTGATTGACAGTTGAGAGACGGGACCAAAGACCCAGAGCTCAACCTCCGCAAGCACAACAAGGTGAGTACATCCTCTCTGCTCACCCTGCGCAGAGGAGCCTTGCCTCTACCCAGTGTCCAGCAGAGAAAGAGCCTCAGTCTTATGTACCATACTTCTACTGCCTTTACTAGTCGCCTGGTTGGAGTTACACTATGCCCAGGGAGAGATGGGCAGACAACTGGCCTGGAACTATATTTGTGGTTCCACCTTGCAGCCACTTACAATATAAACCTGTTGGTGAATTTCAACTTAAAGCATCTAAAATAGAAAAATATAGAAAATACTCCATTCACCTGGGCTATAGGAGATTCGAACCGTGGACCCCACGCGTGTGAGGCCGAAGCTCTATCGACCGAGCTATTGTGTGGTCTTAATAAGGAGAGTTTCCTGAAGCAGCAGCCTGCTGCCAAGCTGGAATTTTCGACTTTGCCTGACTGCTACTGAAGTTCAGTAGTTAGCTTCAATGGCTCAGTAGTATTGTTACTGAGTAGTACTACTCAATCAAGGCTCAGTAGTATACTATTGAGTTCAGTAGACCTCAGTAGTTCCATTCACCTAGAGCCTAGGTGAATGGAATGTTAATCCCACGGAAGTGTGGATAACAAGTGATGTGGAAAACACTGTTGTAGCAGATAGACTCCCAAGAAGCAGTCTAAATGAAGAGTCACACCCTAATGACCTTTTGCAGATGTGTAACAAATTTACTTTAAACCAGCAAACAGTAGAGCCAACTAGGAAACACCCTAGACCTTATTTCTACAAACAACGATGAGCTGATTAGGAACATAAAGATCACAACTACTTGTTGCTCAGATAACAACCTACTCTAGGTTGAGACAAGCATGGATAACAAGACCTGCTCAGCCAGCCTCAAATCCAAGAGGAAGAGAATTCAGCAATTTTAATAACAAACTGATTAACTGGAAAGAAATAAACCAAGACCTCGCAGAAATATGCTGGGAAGAACAGCTAGAAAATGCAAACATCAACCAGTGCTTGGAGAACATAGAGGCAGCAGCACTAGCAATATGCGGAAGGTATAGACCAGTGAGGAAAGGAGAGAAAAAGATGCAAACTGCAACAGCGTTCCCTCTATAGGCGAAGAAAACAAATCACAGAACACATCCAACGCTCCACTCGACCCCAACAACGACCAGGGAACAACTATGACGGGAAATAGAAATGGTCAACCTCAACCTGCAAGAATCTTTAAAATCCGCGGTTGTTCAACGTCCTCCCAGCGAGCATAAGAAATATTGCCGGAACAACCGTGGACATCTTCAAGAGAAAACTAGATTGTTTCCTTCAAGGAGTGCCGGACCAACTGGGATGTGGTGGGTATGTGGGCCTGCGGGCCGCTCCAAGCAACAGCCTGGTGGACCAAACTCTCACAAGTCAAGCCTGGCCTCGGGCCGGGCTTGGGGAGTAGAAGAACTCCCAGAACCCCATCAACCAGGTATCCAAGAGAGGCAAAGAGAGCAAAAGCCCATAAATAGAGAGGATTTCTAAATAGTTTTCTCCTATACAAAAACAACAACAAAAACTGCGCTCAGCATTGGGCCCCTTGCACAAGGATGATGAAACATTCTTAGATCAACCCGTCCTCGACTCAAGTCCATTCCATCCAGCGGTCGACCCCAAAGACGCAGTCATCAGTTTTAACATGCTGTTTATTCAAAACAGGAATTTTGTCAGATATATATTAATATTATAATATGTTAGCATATTGTGCATGCATAGGTTAGGTTACGTTAGGGGTTTAGGTTCTGTTGGCGATTATTTGTAGTACGTGGGTGAAGCATTTACAGCGTTGTGGTTCGAACAAAATTAGTCGGTGAAACACTTGTTTCGGAAGTGTTCGAACGTCAGCAGTTGTGAGTTGTGTGTAAACCGTTTATCAT